CGAGTGAGAGAACCGGGATGGACTGAGGGAACCGGGAGCGACTGAGGGAATCGGGACCGACTGAGGGAACCGGGATGGAATCAGAGAACCGGGATCGAGTGAGAGAACCGGGAGCGACTGAGGGAACCGGGATGGACTGAGGGAACCGGGATCGAGTGAGAGAACGGGGATGGACTGAGGGCACCGGGATGGACTGAGGGAATCGGGACCGACTGAGGGCACCGGGATGGAGTGAGGGAACCGACTGAGGGAACCGACTGAGGGACCCGGGAGCGACTGAGGGACCCGGGACCCAGCGAGGGAACGGGCGGGGCCGCGGAGGGCTCGGGGCCCGGCTGGCGCTCGATGGATGCCCGTATCCTGGAGAGCAGGAAATCCCTCTCTTAGTCCTAGTGAAGCTCGCGCTGGGAACCGCGAGTCTGGGCTTTTAAAGGTCCCGAAGCGATGAACTCTGAAATAACGGTACCATTTAGCTCGGAGAGCGGGCTCTCCTTACTGTGCCCGTGACTGTTGATTTTAAGGTCCAGGTTAAAACCAGAAAGGTTCGTGTTTCATGGAGAAGCAAATGTATAAAGGCTTTACGTTGTTGTCAGTTCAACTGTGTTCTGTCTGTGGTATCTCTCTGACTCCCATTAATACAGTCTCCAAGAGCCTCATGGACTGATTTGATAATCTTTACAATGTCTTTGTGTTAAAAGTAAACCTGCCCCTGGAGCAGTGAGGGACCTGTGACCTCCTTTCCCCTGTGACGAGGGCTGTGTGCTCAGACAGCTGCTTCCACAGGGTACAAAGGGCTGCTTTCCTGTCAGTTCTCTGTTTGTTCCCAACAGTGTAGGAGGGAAATCATTTGTAATGGCATCTGCATGACTCAGAAGTCCAGAGATCGGCTCTGTGAACATGAAACATCTGTTCTAATTGCGCAAAGGAATCACTTGGCAGAGTTCAGGTAAATTTTGCACAACTGTCACTTTCGTGCCAGCTGGGTCGTGATGTCAGGGGTGTTATTCCTCCGTGCTGAACAGACCAGCAAAATAATACAGTGGAGATCAGTCCCCCGGCTGCTCCTCACCGCAAGGCCGGGTCACTCCCACATCTCACAGACTGTCCCTGAGTTCTGCTCTGGAACATCCCCGAGTTCTGCTCTGGAACATCCCTGAGATCTCATCTGGAACATCCCTGAGATCTCATCTGGAACATCCCTGAGTTCTGCTCTGGAACATCCCTGATTTCTGCTCTGGAACATCCCTGATTTCTCATCTGGAACATCCCTGATTTCTCCTCTGGAACATCTCTGATTTCTCCTCTGGAACATCCCTGATTTCTGCTCTGGAACATCCCTGAGGTTTCATCTGGAACATCCCTGACTTCTGCTCTGGAACATCCCCAAGCTCCGCTCCGGAACAGGGCCCCCTGAGGGCTCCCTGCCGGCCGAGCGGGGAGAGGGGCGGGCACGGGACAGGGACAGGGGAACCGGGACAGGGAAATGTGCCCCGGGACAGGGAGACGTGCCCCGGACACGAGCCCCGGGCGCGCTCCCGCTCCCGCCGCCGCGCTGGGGGGGCTGCGGCGCGCGCGCACCTCCCCGTGCGTCACCGGGCGCGCGCCTCCCGTCGGCCAATAGCGGCGCTCGCTGCCGGCCCCGCCCACAGAGCCCGGCGCGTGCCTGTCCGCGCGCCGGGGGGCGGGGCCTGTGCCGGGAGCGCGCGCGGGGGACTCGCTCCGGCCCAGCCGAGCCCGGCCCGGGAGAGCTCGGATCGGATCAGATCGGATCGGATCGGATCAGCTCAGATCAGCTCGGCCCGGCCCAGCCCCAGCCCCAGCCCCACCGCCCCCATCCCCGCCCGGCTCAGCCCAGCCCCAGTCCCAGCGCCCCCCAGCCCGGCTCAGCCATGATCCACAGCCTGTTCCTGATCAACGCCGCCGGGGACATCTTCCTGGAGAAGCACTGGAAGAGCGTGGTGAGCCGCTCGGTCTGTGACTATTTCTTCGAGGCGCAGGAGCGGGCCTCGGAGGCGGAGAACGTGCCGCCCGTGATCCCCACGCCGCACCACTACCTGCTCAGCGTGTACCGCCACAAGATCTTCTTCGTGGCCGTCATCCAGAGCGAGGTGCCGCCGCTCTTCGTCATCGAGTTCCTGCACCGCGTCGTGGACACGTTCCAGGTGCGGGTGCCTCGGGTGCCGCGGGTGCCGCGGGCCGGGCGGGCAGAGCCTCCTGTGCCGCACCGGGGTTCGCTCTGTTCGCCCCTCACTTCGCTCTCATCCTGCAGGGGCGAGGGGACAGACAAGGGCTTGCGGTGGTTGGGGATTTACTGCCTGGAATTACGGTGGATCCGGGACCCACCCGCGCTCAGGGGAAGGAGCTTTCAGCAGTCGGTGTTTCTGCTCTGGCAGCTGGAACTAAGGCCAAGCTGACCTTGTTCTCACAGGGAGCTTTTTGACGTGCTTTAGTCGGTTAGTGACACCCAGCCCCTGTGCTCACAGCTGGGGATGCTTCTTGGAATCCTCCTAAATAGTGGGTTCGTAGGGGCTGCCCCGGAGCAGCCCTGTTCCCTCTGGGCTCTGGTGGACATGGTCCATGTAAGAAAATGGTGCAGATGTCTGTCCTTCTGCCTGCCAACAACAGGGTTGTGTTCCCCAGATTTGAGATGTCTTGTGACCAGCATCCTGACAGAACACAGGAAATGTGGTGCTTGGTCAAACAAGTGTCATGTGAGCTCTTCCTTCCAGATGCCAATCGAAATGTGAGTGTATTCTGAGTTCTGCTTCACTGTGGATTGGCTGTTCAGGCCAAAAAGGGATCCTGTCAGACCTTTAGGCTTTGTTTTTTCTTGGGGTACAAGATGTGTGTCTTCACTGGCCTGGCCGTTTATTAAAATCTGATATGTCTGAAAAAGAAATAGTGCTTGTAGTGCAGGACAGTTCTCTGCTGTCACACTCTCTGTTACTCATGCTTTGTGCAGAATGTCTGGTCTCCTAAACTGCTGTAACTAACCAGCAGCTCAGCTGTGTGTTTGTGCTCCCTCCTGAAAGAAGAAGCTGGATTTATTCCTGGGGGGGACACAGGACTGAATGATCAGGAAGATTCTCTTTCAGCAGTTGTTGATTAATTATTTCTTTTGCACAGGATTATTTTGGCGTGTGTTCAGAGCTGATAATCAAGGACAACGTTGTGGTGGTTTATGAGGTGCTGGAGGAGATGCTGGACAATGGCTTTCCATTGGCAACAGAGTCTAATATTCTTAAGGAACTGATAAAACCTCCTACTATCCTGCGGACAGTCGTCAACACCATCACAGGTACAGGGAATCAAAACACAGATAAGCTGGGAAGTCCATGTGCAATATTCCTGCAGAAGTAAATCAGGACATGGGTGAGGGAAGTTTATGTTCCCTGCCATTCTAAACTGCAGCACAGCTGTGTTCCTGCTGTGCTTGGGGTTCCTTCCAATTTCAGCACCAGCTGCACTTTGGGTTTTTGTTTGGTTTTGGGTTGGTTTGGTTTTTTGAACTGCAGCAGCCAGATTACACCTCCAGTCCCAGCCGTGCCCTGACTTGCAGGATGTCAGTGAGCTGTGGGTTCACACATCCCCACGTGTTAACACTTGCTTGTGCCCATGGTGTGTTTTAGAGCTGGGTGTAAGAGAGATGTAAACTCTGGAATACAGTGAGTCTCCAAGATAATTACCCCCCTACAAAGAAACAGAGGTGCTCAGGGGTTAATTACAATTAAGTTCTGTAAGTCGGGGGCTTGTTCTGGAGCACTGTCTGACGTCTGGGCTGGTTGTGGTTGCCTTTCTTTTTCCAGGAAGCACTAATGTGGGTGACCAGCTTCCCACTGGGCAGCTCTCAGTGGTGCCCTGGAGACGGACTGGTGTAAAATACACCAACAACGAGGCCTATTTTGATGTGATTGAGGAGATCGATGCCATCATCGACAAATCAGGTACGGGAGCTGCTCCTGGCTGACACAGGGTGACTGGGCCTGATAGTACCTGAAGAGAGAGTTGGGTTTTCGAAGAGGATCACCTTCCTCCAAGTGTGGGAAGCTCTGTTTCTGTTTTACTCTGGGTTGTTGCCATCCTGTACGTGCTGCTCAGTCAAAAATTTCACAGAGGTACCACGATTTTCACTTGTCCTTGTTCTTGAGGTCTCATAAGCAATTTTATATTGGGAAAATAGAAGATGAGCAAATATTCTTTCTCTTTAGTATTTGTGCATCTTAGTCTTGTTAGATTTGGGAGTCTTGTTAGATTTAATGGTCTTTGGCCCTTAAAATGGACATTGCTGGTGTCTGTTGTTCTTAATTGTTTGCATCTTCTAGAGAAGTCATTGGGAATGAGAAAAATGTTGAGCAGGCAACATAATGAACCATGACATTTCATAAAGATAATAGATTTCCTTCCTCCCCACTGAGGGTTTTTCCACTTTGGGATTTTTTTGACCAGGTTCACATAACCACCTGTTTGCTTTATTGTTGCAGGTTCCACAATTACTGCTGAAATCCAGGGGGTGATTGATGCTTGTGTCAAGCTGACTGGGATGCCAGACCTTACCCTCTCCTTTATGGTAAAGCTCAAGGATGTGTTTTTACTGAAGTAATTTGAAAAGCATTTCCCAGCCCCCCTGCTAAGATCTGTCTTACACTGACAGATTGCAGCACATCAGACTCTGGTTATGCCAAACATAAAGAGAAAGAAATGACGATGGGAACTCATAGTGAACTTCAGTAACTTTGAGCCTAGAAATTTTATTTTCAGGTTCTTTGTTTAAAAGCACTGTTTGTGTGGGCTGTGACTAAGCTTTTGAGTCTTTAGTGGTGCTTTAGGCAGATATGAAGGGCCATCTTCTTCATGAGTATGTATCAATGCAATTATTCAACGTGACTAAATTTTCTAAAATAGGATAAAAAATACCCTGAGAAAGGCCCTTCAGGGGCAGGAGATGGAGAAGCAGAGGAGGTCCTTTGAGGGGGCACAGCCCTCCCAACCCTCATGCTGTGTCTTTGCTGCAGAACCCTCGGCTGCTGGACGACGTCAGCTTCCACCCCTGCGTGCGGTTCAAGCGCTGGGAGTCGGAAAGGATCCTCTCCTTCATCCCACCTGATGGGAATTTTCGCCTGCTCTCCTACCATGTCAGTGCTCAGAAGTAGGTGATGAATGTAGTGCTGTGAGTTATGAAATTTGGATCTTTCTGGCCAGGGAGAGGATGAAAAAAAGGGAACTTTTAAAGATCAGGTGGTGTGTTGTGCCAAATGAAGTAGAGGGGCACGATAACTTGCATTTTTCCTTTTTCAAAATACATTTTCTCCTTGTTTGGAGCAGTAATTCTGTAATTTCTTTTTGGTCAGCCAGCATTTTTCAAAGACTGGTAGCAGATAAACAAACTAGAGAGGGAAAGAGTTGGGCAGTGGGCAGTAATCAAGCTGTTGATTTCCCGTGCTTATAAAAAAATTTTAGAATAAAACCAGGTGAAAAGAATTGTAATTAAGACTTGAGAATGGGATTCCAACTTTGCCCTTAGATCAAGCAGACGGGTGGAGGATTTCCTTCTCTGTTAAGGAGGTTGGTTCCCAATGTTCTCAGTGCATTGGGAAAAGCAAATACGAAGGCAGGAGATGCACAACGACTTTGTGTGTCTGTCTCTGTTCCAGTCTGGTGGCAATTCCCGTCTACGTGAAGCACAACATCAGTTTCCGGGACAGCAGCTCCCTGGGGCGCTTCGAGATCACCGTGGGGCCCAAGCAGACCATGGGCAAGACTGTGGAGGGAGTGATGGTCACCAGCCAGATGCCAAAGAGTGTGTTAAATATGACCCTGACACCCTCTCAGGGAACACATGTCTTTGACCCCGTTACAAAGGTGAGAGCAAAGGTAGAAATTAGATACTATTTTTTTTTAATTTTGAAGAAAATGCAGTTGAGCTGCTCCTGGCATTTCCAGGACCACAGCTTTGCTGAAGGCAGGATCTTTTTTTGGGATGGGGTGCTATCTTTTCTTTTTCTGAACAATTGCATACTAGAAGTTTCCTCAGTCCCCACAACAAATAGCTGGGTGTCTGAGTGGATTGTAGTGCTGGTTACTTGGTGTGTGAAGCAAATGCCAGCCCTGGTGTTGTGTGATGGGTCTGTGGATGCCTCACAAACTTCTGCATATCTAGTTGTCATGCCTGGTGCTGCACATTAGACTTGGTCCTTGGCAAGCACTGAGGGTTTTGGTGGGTTTTGACTTGGTTTGGGGTGTTCTGTTTTTGTTGTTTGAGTTAATTTAAATTTAAATCTGATGGGCTTGTCCATGGGGCCTTTAGCACAAGTAGTGGAAATATCATTCGTGGAAGGCTTTTGGGAGGTATTTGCTCCTTAAGCCTGTGTCTGTCCAATGTGTGTCTGTCCAGTGTGAAAGGTGAGGTACTAAGAAGACATTTTTCACAAAGAAACACTAAAAGCTGTCACTGGAAGGGGACTCTTCTTTAGAGAGTGTTACAGCATTTCTGTTTCACTGCTGAATTTTCTGTTCTTTTCAGTTACTGTCGTGGGATGTGGGGAAAATAAACCCCCAGAAACTGCCAAGCCTGAAGGGCAGTGTGAGCCTGCAGGCTGGGACATCGAAACCAGATGAAAACCCCACCATTAACCTGCAGTTTAAAATCCAGCAGCTGGCTATATCTGGTAAGTGGCTGTCAGGTAAAGGAGGGGAATGTTCTCTCTGTGCCAGTGCCCATTCTGCAGGGAGCTGAAGTAGCTTTGCAGGCCTTCTACAGTACATTCTACCTGAAACAAGCAAAGAATTGTCTGCTTTGACTGCAGATACATGGATTTGTTCTCTCTGCTGCTCTGTGAAGCAATTTACCTACATTTTCTTGCATTTGGTGCTTACAGAGCTATAAAGAATTTTAGGGTATGGATGTGTTTGTAAAGAATGATTCTGACATTAGGCAGTTGTCAGCTTTTCTCTGTTCTGTTCAGTGCTTGCTAAAACTTCCCCTGTGCTTTCTGCCCCTCTAGTGGGATCTTCTGTCCCTCTCTGGAAGGCCTGTCTGCTTTGTTTGTGGCAGCATCACTCATGCTGTGTTTGTTTGCCCTTAGGACTGAAGGTGAATCGCTTGGACATGTATGGGGAGAAGTACAAGCCATTCAAGGGGATCAAATACATGACTAAGGCTGGCAAGTTCCAGGTCCGGACCTAGAGGATCCTGGCAGCGAGGAAGAGCCCTTCTCCTTCTCCCCTGTCCCTGGCTGCTGGGTGCAGCCTCTTTCCCCATCCATCTGTTTAGGGTTGCTCCCTTGCCTGTAGTAGCATGAGCAGGAAAGCAAGTGCTCAGACTGCTGGAAAGCAGGGGAAAGTAAGGTTGGCCTGAAACCACCTCATCTCTAGCTGAGTCCTGAAGTCTTTGGAATAATAGCGGATGGGAGAAGTGTTTGGGTCCCTTGGGATTAGTGAGTCAGCTGTTTAAGCTTCTATCACCTTCATTTTGCTGTCTTAGAGGAAATTCCAGGTATTTATTGCCTTTTGTATCTCCTCTTCCTTGTATTTTGGTTGGCTTTTATCCCTTTGTAGATGATCCGAAGTTGAATTTCCACAAACTTCAGCTCCAGTGTGAGGATCAGCACCTGCCCTTCTCCCTCACTGTGTGTCAGGATGCAGAGCTGTTCTTGGCAGCAGGGAAATCATCTTGCCTTTCTGCCTCAGAGGGGCTGGAGAAAGTGGAAGGGTGGATTGTTCCACCCAGGATAGCTGGTTGAGAAGCCTGAGATTGGGGATGGTGCCACAGAGGGAGGAAGGGAAGAAGTGGATGCTTCTTCTGGATACTTCCTAAGCCATCTTGGTCGTTAAGTATCTTAAATCTCTGAACACAGGCTTGAAATGCATTCAAATCCTGTAACTGGTGTGTGGTGGCATCTGTGTCATTCTGCTTCTCTGGTTATTTTATCAGTATTTGAAGGTAGGAATTCTCCCAGCTGCTTTGGGGAATCGGACGAGACAGGGAGGGGAAATTTTGTGAGGACACAGCACTGATGGAAATTGCAGCCTTGAGTAAATGAAGATAATCACTGTCCTATAACTTGGTGGAACCTCTCTCTGCCACTGCTTGCCTATTGCAGATGAAGGCAATTCTGGCTGTTCTCCTGCTCACTGATGTCCTTCTTTGACATAATTGTGACCTGGTACCTTCGTAGTGTTCCTGCCTGTCCTACCTCATTCCAGTTCCTGTCCCAGTCAGGTGCTGTGGATTCAGGGGTTGCTCACTGGGACCATCTCCTGTGCAGGAGCTGTTGCTCCACGTGCCCACCCCAGGCTGTGGTACCTCCCTGTGTGCAGCAGGAGATGAGAGGCCCCTGCAGTGGTGGTGGTGTCTGGAACAGGCTCTCTGGCCCCCACATGCCAGGGGGTTTTCCCTGTGGGAGCAAACAGGGACAGCCCCTAAAGGAAGGGTGGCACCCATGGGGGGTGTGATGGGCACCTGCAGTGGGTGAGTGGCACCTTGCCTGTGGAGCTGCAGGTTCCAGGGGAATGCCAGAGCAGGTGGCATCTGCTGAGGTGACATTCCTGCTGAGCATGTTCAGTGCAAATGAAACCTTCGACGAGGGCATCAATAAAATTAATTTTTACATGTCATCTGTGTCATTTCAGTGTGGTTTCTGCAGGCTTTACCAGAAATATGGTTGGTATTTGAGGAGGAAGGTAAACTATGCCAATTGGACTGTGAGTAGTGGGTGCCCTAGGGAGATAAATGTCTTTATGCAGCTGGGATTGTAAGCCAGGGACTAAGTCACTGTCTGACAAGCTAAAATTCATTACTTTCTTGGTAATTTTCCTTAGTGTTTCCCAAAAGGAGTGCTGAGCATTTCCTGGAACCTCAGTGAAAATGTCTTTAGGAGTGCTGCTGAACCATTTCTGTGTACTGGGCAGGGGAGCAGGCTCAGGGTAGTGCTTTGGTTATGAAGACAATGAAATACCTCATGACCTTCCTGCTCCTCAAGTGCTGATCCTGTCCTCTGGCTCTGTAGCTTTGTTTTTTAAACGATCTTTTCTGCCCTGCTGAAGGGATTCATGTTACTCAAGGTTTATTAAGTACATAAAGGCACCTGGCCCTTGAGCCAGTTTCTGTATCAGTCTGAGGTGGCTGCAGGGTCCTGTGGGGTGAAAGAAGAAACAGGGCAGAACTGGGGAACAACATTCATGACATGAGCTGGTTGACAGAAGGACTTTTGGGGAGGAAACATGAGGTGTAGCTGTGGACCTCAGGCACCACAAATGCTGATGCTGACCTGGGTTCTCAAAGACCTTGAATATGACAATAGCAACTGCAAAGGCAGAGGAAGGCAAGCAAGCAGATGGCAGTGGCTATTCTTAGACCTTGTCTAAAGATGGTGCTGCTGTGTCCTGGCAGAGGACAAGCAGGGATAAAAGCAGGATAAGAAGTGGAAAAGTTGATATTGTAAAGATGGAAACGTTTTATTGGTGGCTGTTAGGTCACATTGAGTTCAAATAATGTATTTAATGGACTGTTTGAATTGCAAAACAGAAGTGTTCCTGAGGACACTTACTTGTGTTACTCAGTGGAACAGTTTTGGCTGTTTTACAGGCTGCAGGTATTTGGCAGGCTTGGGAAGAGGCACAAGAGCACTTGGAAATGGGTGTAGGGGAGATGAATGGAAATTAATTTGTATTTTTCTCAACATTAATATTTAATAAAATGAAAATATCAACAATAAAAAGAAAATTTACACCAAAACCCTGAACTGTGACTCTTCATTAAAAAACATCTTGGGGGTTTTTTTCCCAGTCCACTGTTGTAGAACTGACTGGACTTACACCACCATTGCTCTGAGGGCATTAGAGATCATCCCTCTGAGGGCATTTTCTAAGCTGGGAGCTGGAAGATCACAGACCGTTTGTAAAGCTGCCATTTACAACCCCCCTTTTACCATCCTCCCCACATCTCTCCTCTGTGCTTACAGTGAGGTTCTGTATTTGACTGGATGCTGTGCTGGTCTGTTCTCAGAGAGCTCCTTAAAGCTGAGAGAGGAAACATTTGGAGTTACAATGTTTTGAGTTTCCCAAGTACAGCAGACTGGTGTTCTGGCTACCAAAGCTAAAACTCCTTTTGTTCCCTCAGTATAACGTTTTCCTTTTGTAAAACAGTAGTTACACCTGCTCTCTCTTTATAAAGCAGTTGGACAAAGGAGAAGCTTTCAAAGAGGCTTCACTCCTCGGGTGTGCACAGATGCCACTCAGTGTCACATGGCAGCTGCAGTGCAGGGCAGCAAAGCTGATTACTGAGGGCTGGTTCCTGGGGATTGGTTGTACCTGCCCTGGCTGCTGTGAAAGGACAAAGGCAGCCTTGTGACATGTGATTTGGCCTTTTACTTGTGGATATAAATCTAGCAGGCACTTAAAACTGCTGCCATTACACTTGTCCTTTGTTCTGCCCCACTGCACTGAAAAGAGAGCTTTTGCTTTCATATCAGATGATAATGCATAAAAATTTAATAGTCAAAAAGTATGCACTGATCCTGTGGCAGATCAGGCTGATGTTAATACCTTTACCTATTCCTTTACCAGGAGGAAAAGCAAGTGGGAGAATAGAATGTCCTAACAAGCATGTCACCCTGGATTTGCTCAGAGAGTTTAAGCTCAGACTTGGTTAATTAATCAGTCCCAAACTGAAAAAGCAAGTAGTATATTGATCTGGAAATAAGCAGCTCATGCCTACAGCTTTGTTCTTTCTATGGAGTCAAGCTGAAACCAGCTTAAATTACCCAAGTCAAATGTTGTAAGGACAGAGCTTAAGTCTGACTGGAATGTCTTCCAATTTTACAGCCAAGTAAGGAGGGAAATGAAGTTTTCAGGAAATTAGATCTGTCCTCTTTGCCTTCAGTTTACACCCATTTCCAAAACAACATATCTGCTTCAGGGATGCATGATGTTCTCTCTTGGTTTGTTCTTTTGGCCCAAAACTAATTTTAAATTGTACTCATGTGATTTGATGCAAGTGGAAAGCTTGGGGATGTTGGGGGCAGAGGAGGATTAGTTTCTGATAACCTGTAGTAAGGAAAGGAGGGTGATTTGGGAACGTCCCCTTCTCACACACTGCAGTTTGTCTTCCCGTTAAAGTCACGAGCCTGTGGACAAACAGGAAGCCCTTGAAGTCCTTAAGGCACCAGAGGGAAGTTGTGAGGACATGGCCACAAGACTGCAAAGAGTTCATGGTTCTTTCTCAGGGTTTCATGGTGTCCTGAATCCAGCCCAGGTAACGACTCACATTTGTGTAAACCCCAGGGATGTCCTTGCGGCCACAGCCAATCCCCCAGCTGATGATCCCCACCAGCACCATCCGCCCGTCCTTCGGGCACACCAGGGGCCCTCCAGAGTCACCCTGCAGAGAAGCAGCAGATTAGGAACAATTTCCTTTCCTGTTTGTTTGGTTTTGTGTCGCTCCCACTGTCTTTAGAGGTGCACTAGTGTTTGCAGAAATGCCCTGTGCTCTCAGTAACAGCACTGTGACAGAAATCACTCTCGTGTTCCAGATTCCCTCAATGCTCCTCGTGGGGAAGATGCAAAAGAGATGTAAGACTAAAGTGTCTCACTTTGTATGATGCTCATTTCTGAAATGTAGGTGAGATGTTGATAAGAAGCAAAAGAGGAAGGTTGTGTGTAACAGTAAAGCAAAATTATTAAAGAGCTGTTCAAGCAGAAAGGATGTGGAGTGAATGCATCCCCTCCTTTTTCCTCATGTCATAGCTGCTCCTTCTCCACCATCTTTCAGTCTTTATTTTTCTTTTCTCTGCTTTTCAGTAGAGAGGCACCCCCTTCCTCCTCCAGGACCTCCTGCTGAGTGTTTTGCATGCTCACATAACAGAAAATATTAGGAAATGCTGGGGTGGATTTTCCTGTTCAGTTTTGTGGAATTTCCTGTATTTGGGATTTTCAGCCTGTGTTGTTCTGGTTTGATTGGCTGAGTGTGCCCTGCCTTCCCATCTACGAGGGGCAAGGGAAGGAAAAAGAAAGAGGAGCCAGCAGTTCTGTTCTGTTCTGTTCAACAAAAGTCTACTGGAACTGCCACGTAGGCAGATGCACAACTCCTTTAAACTATTTTCTGAAGCTTTTTGTTTGGTTGGCTCAGACTACCAGGGGCAGAGAAAAGAAGGGGAGCAGGGCAGGAGAAGAGGAGCAGAGCTGGGTTTACCTTGCAGGCATCATCCAGGTTCCTGGTGTCCCCTGCACACAGCATGTTGTCGGTGACCGTGCGGTTGTCCAGGAGCTGGGCTGTGCAGCGGTTGGCCGGGAACAGCCGGACCTGCCCCTCCTTCAGCTGCTCCGAGTAGAACGGAGAGACTGCCAGGGAAACCACAGGACACTTATATACATCTGTGTATGCATATGTACATTTTAAAAACATTGCAGTTCAGTTTCTGCAGTTCAGAGGAACATAAACAGAAGTAGCTCAGTAGCTAAATTAATATTTCCCTGCCAAAGGGTCTTTTCTATATCTTGGGTGTTCCACTTGGCCAGTGAGAGCAGCTTAAATCTGACTGAGAGAGAATATTGTTTCTTCAGCAAGCTTTAGCAAGTGAAAGGTTTTTCTAGGCTCCAAATTAAAGGCTGCTGGGTGGATAAGTCATCTTTGCACAGTTACATCAATCGAAATGAAGTCACAGGAAGTGCCTACAAAAATGCCTAAACTGTATGAAACAGGGTCCTAACTTTTTAATATTAGACTTGCACTAACAAAAATCTGATGCCTTGTCATACACAATATTGAGTAACTGGATAGGAATTTACACTTACATTGGAATGGAAGAGATTTGGTTGGTTGGTTGGTTTGGATATTGGGTTTATGTGCAGCTGCAATTGCACAAAATTGAAAGTTGGCAAGATTGTTGTTATTCAGTCTAGTTCTGAGTTACAGTTGCAGCATCCTGCCCTCTCAAAGAGTTTATCCTGTACTCCCTGTAAACAATGCTGAGGACAAGCCTGTAAAGCACTTTAAAAATCTGCAACTGTATGGTACATGAAACCTTGACAGGAAGGGATTTCTGTCCAAACCACAATATCTAAATGTACTGAGTGCAGCAGAAATGTGGCAGCTGGGACTGCAAACCTGCTGTCTTTCCTACCCTATCCATCGTGCCAGGTTTTTGGGTTTGTACTGTGGAGAGTATCAAGGAAGACTCTACTGGTCCATACAGCTGACAGAACTCAGATGAATGAAAAAACTGACAGCAGAACTTCCTTTTGAGTGACTCCTACTTATACATCCATTTTGTGGTGTTCATATAAGCCAATATACACATCAGACATTCAGTAAGGCTAAAGGCTTGCATTCTTTGATGGCAGGGGACTCAAGCTTTGGACAGACTATCTTCTACTCACATTCCTCATCTTTGCCATAGCCAGAGATCTCACACTCGGTCCAGTCAGGCAGCTGCAGCCCTGGTGTGGGGAGGCAGGCAGCTCTCACAGCGTCTGTCTCAACAGCACAGGCTCCTGCATCTGAGCTCAGCTGCAGCAGAGCTGAGGAGGGAGAAAACAATCCCCACTTCATTAACCACTGTTAAACTTGAGCCAACCGTGAGCTTTTCAGCCACAAGGTCAGAAAAGTTCTTACCAATATCATTGTTGAAATTTTCTGAGTCAAATCTCTGATGGACAATGTAGTTCTTCACTCGAAACTTTTGTTCATTTTCCTCGGGAGTGGCTCGGGAGGTCCTACCCAGCACAATCCTCAGCTGATTTGTGCTAAAGCTGGAGAACAAGAGAGTCTCTGTTCTTGTGTTAACTAGAGGGGACCCTTCCCTTCAAGATGTGTTGGAACTTCTGCTTTTCTCATTTTAGCACTATTACTACTCTGTTACCCAGGCAGCTTGACCTCAAGTGACCTATTTGGCTTCATTTTTGTGCTATTTCCTTACAGCCATCACGGCAAAGCTCCTCTGGCAAAGCTCCTCTGCCAGCCCCTTGCTGTTCTCAAGTTTCAGATGGCTCTGCATGTGTATTGACAACTTTGTTCTTCTGCTATTTGATATTCTGCTGTGGTACCTTGGTGCCATGCTGCTAGTTTGCACAATAAATGCCTCTCTGTAATGCTCAGCACAATTAACTGTAATCTTTAGTGCAGACTGGCTTACTGGGATAAAGAGGCTTTTTTCCAAGGCCGTACTGGACGCTTCCATTTTCCAGATTATTTTTTTTCCCCCAGACAGCGCCGAATCCTCAACTTACCGTTCCTGAAAGCAGTGAGCAGCCGAGAGCACCCAGCAGGAGCTGATGAGGGTGCCCCCGCAGAGGAAGTGCTCCCCGGGCAGCCGGCGGTAGGTGACGAAGATCGCAGCCTGCCAGGGGTGAGCCGCGATGTCGGCAGAGGAGCCCCCTCGGAGGCGGAACTGGCGGGCCCGGCGCTGCCGCTCGCCACACCGGGCTGGGGATGACAGAGCAGAACGGGCTGTTGGTGCCGGCACTCGGGCTCTGAGTCCGGGTTCAGAGCCTGTTAGTCACCGGTGCGTGTTGAGGCAGCCTGCTGCGAACTGTTTAGTATCTGACTCACTCCTGTTTCCTTGGAAACTTGTATTCGGATTTGAAAAATACAGTAAGGAAACCCTGCCTTTCCTGTCCTCCATTTCTGCAGTCTTCCCTTCTGGCAGAGGGAAAGGCACTGCTCTGAGAGTGGAGCTACAGAATCCCTTTCTACTCCAAAAGCTTTTTTTTTTCCCTCCAGCTCTTATTTTACTGTAAGAGGCTTGAGTTGAATAGAGATGGCATGCAGGACTGTAGTGCCTCAAAGACAGAGAAGAATCAGCAGTGCTAGTATCCTTACAGCAAGTAGGCACATTGCAGTACTCCCATGTGAGCTGACTTCCCTTCAGGACATGGCACCAGGGCTTGCTGTCATTGTCAGGATTCCTGCAGCACAGGAAAGAGAAGAGCTCTTTGTATTATCAGATCTGCAGGGGGTTTGTGGAGACCTAAAGGTGGCAGACTGCAACCCCAGTGTATTCTTTTTGATTTTTCTAGAGAGCCCTGAGGGCACATGGAATTTGCATTTATGGAGTCTGATGTTAGAGAAGCAGAGACAGGTCAGGCAGAACAAAATTACTATTGCAAGTGAGCTTCATTCCCAGCAGGAATGTATTTCCTGTGCTTTCTACACCCGACACATACCTGCAGAAATTGTGACTGCCAAGGCCCAGCTGGGAAGCGTCTCCTCTCCAAGCAGTAAATCGCCTGTTGAACAGGATCCCAGAATTCCACTTCAAACAGGTAGCTCCAGAACTGGTAACACTGTGGCTGCCTCGGTAATCTGTGCCTCGCCCAGATCTGCAGCTGGTGCTTGAAACTTCAACAAGAAAGCTGCACATTAACCCATGGATGGAACCCATCAGTTGTTCCAAAGTGGGATTTCTGTCAAGGCATCTCTCTGTTAACCAGACATATCTCAGTCTCTTGGTGTCATACACATTAAAAGCTTACATATAATTTAACGTGAGAGTCTCAACTTTTCAGGCTACAGAAACAGCACGAGTCCACAGCGAACCCTTACACATGGAGTGAATAATGGAAACTGCAAAGTCCCTTCCCTGTCCCCCTGCCCGTACCTTTGGAACAGGAGGGCACACTGCAGTGCTCCCAGGTGTACCTTCCCTCTTTATAGATATAGCACCACGGTCTGGAGTCCTCATCTGGGTTTCTGAAAGAGTTATGATATTATGCATTGTTACACAGCTGTTGTCAGTAGTCCCATGGCTGCCATCCACTTTGGTAGCTTCATCCTGCTCTGCAGTGAAGACATGGACTGACCCACCAGAGGTGTCTGGATTCCTGTTTTAACTGTGGAGTACATGGAGGTGAAGAGGAGATGGCCAGCAGCTGGCAGGGGTGGACAGCATGTTTGTGCAGTTGAGTTCATGTGCACAAAGCACGATATTTTTACAGTTTTGACTGGGATCTGGAACTGCAGGAAACTGAATCACAAATGGAGTTTTAGGCACTGAGAAGGGACAAGGGAAAGACTGTGGGATGAGAGATATCTGCATCTTTTAGTCTGTCATAAACATCCAGTCTAGATAGACCTGAAGTTCAGATATGCCTCCAGAAGCTGCAACTGCTGCTCATGTGCTGGGCCATATCTGCACCTGCTTGGTGTCAGACTCCAGCAAACAGCTGTTCCTTGCTCCAGGCTCTGGTTCCTCTGCCCTGTGTCCATCAGCCCCTCACCTGCAGTAGTTGTGATTGCCTAATCCCAGCTCAGCTGCATCTGCTCTTTGGCCATGGTATGTCCAGTCCATCAAGTCTTTGTTATTCCAATTTAAACATTCAGATCCACTCTCTGTCACACTCCATGTACCCCTGTATGTTACTCCAGCATCTCTGTAGCATTTAGCTTCAGTATCTGAACAAAAGGGAACAAAATGTTACCGGAAGGACAACATCCCAACCCTGCTTCCCCAGTCTCTGTTCCGTTTAAACTTGGCTCTCAGATGTCTTATCTAGTAAGTCAGTGAAAATGCCTTGTCAGGCAGACTGTAAGTGTAAACAAAGGTGTCTTCAGCTACAAAATTTAGGCTTTTATTAAGAGATGCTGAGAACAGCCCAGGTGTCCTTAAAAGTTCTTTGTAGTATTAGTTTTAGAATAAAAAGAGGCAACTTAATAGAGAGCCTAGAACACAGCAGGAGCTTCTGGGTACCTGATCCTTCTGTACTGCACAGCTCAACCCAATCAGTGTTCCCAGGAACTGATGTGCTCACTCACCTATTTCACACTGCTTCCCTGAGAAACCTTGGTGGCACTGGCAGATGAAGAGCTGTGGGGAATAATATGCCTGTGAACACTGGCCCCCATTGTAGCATTTATTTCTAGTGCAGGCTGTGGAATAAGCAAAAGCCAGGGAATACTGTTAGGTTTCACAGAAGCAAGAAGCTGGCAATGTACACACATCTTTCCTTTCCTGTTAGTCTCCTTTAGCCTGTTCTGTTTTTCCCTACCTACCTGGTATTGCCATGTGCTTACAGCCTTTCTGTAGTGCTGACATTCTTCCTTTGTTCCATTCTCTCCACATGTGCTGTCAGGAGACTTCCCCAGCCCCTTGCCCACTCCCACTCAGTCCTGCCTGAGCCAGCAGATATTGGTATTTTCATTTCTATCCTATTTCAAGCCAAATTTTCTGTGCAATAGCTCCAGCCCTGTGTTGTTCTTTCAGGTGGTTAGACAGACAATCTCTCATCCCTCACCATTTCCTCCCTCTTTTCCCTTGTCACACTCACCTCTGACAGGCACGGTGTGGCAGCGCCTCTGCCCACTGTCACACCTGCAGTACTCTGTCCTGCTCCCTGCCAGCCTCAGCCAGGTCCAGCCGTGCTGGAACACTTCTCCAGAGGAGCTGTCCTTGCAAACACCTGCAATCACAGAAAGGAAATCCTCCTTTAGAGACTGGGGGAAAAGACCTGGCTGAGCAAGAGGACTCCCACTTCCAGGAGACAAGGATCTGTGAAGGGAGCACCTGTCTGACAGGCTGCCCCTTCCCTTCTCAGACCACAGCTGTCCCATCCCTCTCATTGCTGTGCTGCTGGAGTTACTATTCCACCACTGACCAGCCTTGTTTGAAGAAGAGCAGTGGGAGGGGAAAACTTCCCTGAGCTGTGGATGGTACTAATGGTCTGGGATTTTGCCTTCTGACTCTCTCATTCAGATAACCACGACAAACAGTTTTCAGGCTCCACTCCTGCAGCATCATTTGCTTCCACCTCCCGTGTTCCTCACGCTCCAGGTCACAGGGTTGTGGTTTCCTGGCTTACCTCTGGGTCTGGCTCCCCGTCTGACACGTGTGAGTAAGCCCTGCAAGCAAAGGTTAATTCTGTAACTGCTCTCTTAAAATAACTGAGAGAACAAGTGTCTACAGAGAGTCAGTCTTCTTCTTGAGGTCATGAGAACCAGGGAAGCCATTCCAGAGGCACCAAAATCTTACCTGGCACTGGGTGGTCACGACTGCTCCCACCAGCAGGAGGAGACATGGGAGTTTGCCTTCCATTCTGAGTGTTTTCTACATCAGCTCCAAATCTCAAGTTATCTACAGAGACAAAAATAACATGTGGAACAAAGGGGTTTTACAGAGTGAATGGAGTTCAAGGTCGTAACCTTAAATAAAGGTTTTCAATTATGAAAATTCTTTGTACACACTTTCAACCCTTCACTTCTCAGCTGTCTGGTCTAGCTGTCCTAGTCTTCCAGAGGCACAAAAATCCTATACAAACCAAGAGGTGGGAGTGAGGTAGAGTAGCAGGCAAACAATTTAATTCCCAATCTCTAAGACTGCCCTGCAGTTCCAAATATTTGAAACAGTATTCAAGCACTGTCTCCCACACTATCACCTTTTTATCATCTACATTATATGTAGAAAGCTAACCCAATTATTTGAGAAAACTACTACTCCCAGAAATTAGGAGCTCAGACTCTGTTTATGCAAAGCCAGAGAAGGCAGCTGGATAGCAGCTGGTGAAATTGGAGTATGACAGATGAGTCAGAAATTGTGATTCATGGCTAATAAAGTGTGTTTGTGGGGTTTTGGTGGTTTTGTCATTGTGTTTGTTTGTTTGTTTAAGACTTGTTCAAAGAAAAAGCAAAAGGAACAAACAGTCCAGTTTCTGAAGCAGATCAGGAGTACAGCAGGACAGTTTAGGCTGTGATTTCTCATCATTAGGCAGTAAAAAGAGGAGACTTAAGTTGCAAGTCAGTCTGAACAAAGGAAAAGATTCACAAGAACATCTTCCAAAAACCTTAATTACTCCATGACTTGTCTTTAGGTCACAACTTGGTGATGAAATTCTTGTAATTCAGAGCATCTCTCAGGGATTTGTGTTAGCCCCCAAAACAAGGCAATACCAGTGAAATTTGAATCTTGGAGTGTTCTGGTGTTGTTGTGGGTTTGTTGTTGTTTGGGGATTTTTAGTTTGTTTGTTTGTTTGTTTTGGGGGGGTTAATTTGGGGTTTTTTGTGGAGAAGAGAGTGGCAGTGCTGACCTAACTGATACCTGGAGGAAGTCCCAGCTGTCTGAAACCAGCAGGAAACTACAGATAGTTTTCAGGGGTAGTAGGAAACATCTTTTAAAGTCTCTATTTAAAAAGCATCTGCATGTTTAATGTTTACTCAAGTTTATGGTTACAGTCAAGTTTCTCTCATCCAGTTGGCTGTACAAGTGGGTTCTTACCCAGCACGTGCTTACACTGCAGTACAGAGCAGTTCAGAGCCTGTCCAAAGTTAGTTTGCATCAGATGCCACATCCTTTCTTCCCCTCATTTCTGCTGTCCCAGCTTACAGTGCTGCCACGTCTCCTGCTCCTCTCCCCCTCTCCGTGTGGGATGCCTGTCCATCCCCTGATGGCTGCTGTCCCACTGTGCTTGGAAAACTGAGAGCAGATGTTGCCAGATGTTTATTTTCAGTTTTGGGAAAGGTACAGCTCAGACCAGTCCTTTGGAATGTTCTGGATGATAAGCAAGCCCCATCAAACTGAAACCATATGGCCGTTTGAAAAACACCACTTTGACAGGACTCCAGGCAGAAACCTGCAGTGTGCTTTCTGGCAGGACTCCCCTAAGCAGTGTGTGCCTTCTGATCTCAGCCTGTGCCTCCTCTCTGACCCAAAGTACTACAGCAATTAGTCACAGACTGAGATGTGATGTTCTGACATTTTGATTTGATTTGACACTTTCGAGTACATTAGGACACAAAAGATATACAATACCCTAAATTTGTCTCTCTTTGCTGAAGAATCAGCAGCAGGAATACTTACAATCCTACCTATTAATTTATTATTAATAACAGCCCTTCTAAGCAGTAAGAGTGTGAGCATTATCTTACCAATGTGGAATAATACCTAAAAAAGAGACGTAACTTATCAAGGTCGAACAAAAAGTCACTAATCACAAAATCACTTAGGTTGGAAAAGACCTTAAAGATCATTGAGTCCAACCATAAAACCAACATTGCCAAACCCACCATTAAACCATGTCCCTAACTGCCACATCTACAGGTACAGAAATGAAAAGTGGCTCTCCTCCCTCCCAGTAACACAGCATGTCCCTTCCAAAATACACTGATTCTGCATCTGTAAGGCTAATGGCTTTCTTGCTGATCAACAGTTACCTTCATTTAGTTCAAGCAACAGACTGCAGCTCCTTGCTGCCTTTTCCTGCCTTCTGGAGAAAGTGCTTTTGTATCCCTTTTCTGAGCTGAGCAATGCATAGCAGACTCGTACTATTTCTCCTTAAAAATATAACAGACAGACCTCTGGTTCAGGGGGAAAGAGTTAAAAAAAAAAAAACAAAAGACAAAAAAGTAAGATGCTGTAGTCTTTGAAAGCATTGGAGGAAATGAATATTTCAAAATCAGACTTTGTTTTGGGAATCATTCTCAGTATTCCTGTGGTTTTGGCCACATTTAAAGAGGAGCATGATTAGAGTGAACTGAAGATGACCCACCCTCCTCCTCCTCTTTGTCCCTCCATTATCCGGGTTTGGAACCTGGGGTGAGAGGAACAGTCTGATCTCCTCCCAGGGAGATTAGATAAATTCTTCTTTTTCAGCTAGTTCTCTGGGTCCCCTTACCATCAAGATATTTGTCCATAACTCTTCCTTTGGTTTAAGTTCTTCTGCTAATGTTCTTTGTGCAGGACACTCCTCCTTGCTTAATGGGTCAGAGCCTGAGGCTGTTGGTCCTTTCAAGAAAGCTTCAGCATTCTTGAAACAACTTTAAGTTAGCAGCTTTACCCACATTATGAATCCCTTCAAAAGCTGGAAGCCAATAGCTCAGTTAGGTAACTATCACCGTGATTCAGTGGGATTTATTAAATAATAATATTTAATAGTAGTTAATGAATTTGCCACTGATGTTGAAAACAGGAAACGCACTCTTTAAAACAGGTACAAAGTAGTACCTACCTTTTTGCTTTTTCTCTTCTGTATTCTGATTATTTCCTTTCCAGACCAGTCTGTGTTGGTGTTTTCTGTGTCTCTGCTCTTTCTCTGAACAGCTCCTGTCCTACTTACAGCTCCACTCGAGGGGGTGGAGACTCCCCGGGCCGTGCTGTCCACATCCCACCCCTTCCCGAGCATCTGGGGATGGTCCGGGCGGGCTGGTGGCTGCAGTGCCGGGAGGGAGCCTGTGCAGGACACAGGGAAGCTGCTGTACTCCGAGTGGAGGTGTCTGGCAGAGAGACCCCGACCTGCATGTGGAGCAAAGCATGCCCTGAACAGTGCCATGGGAGAAGAAACAGTCAGGGGAGCTCGTGAGTTAAATGAACAAAACGTCTAAGGAACTTTAGGTAGAAACAAAGAACAGCATGTTCTTTGTTTAACCCAGAGGGTTAAATGTTCACTGCTACTGCCCATCCTAGAAAATGAAGATCTACTCACCAGGGTGTGGCCATGAGGTATTCAGCTATCAAAGTGTGGCAGACAAATCCGAGTTATCGGTTTAAGAGCTGATCTTAGGGCTGGGTTATGAAAACAGTCAGTGATGCAGCTGTCAGAGTAATGGATGTGTCCTAACTATTCCTAACTGATCCAACAGCAATCAGGTTCCTATAGAATTTGGTGTGAGCACAGACATAAGAACTGGTGTTCTTATGAGGGACCTCCATCTTCAGTGTGGAGTCCTCATTTGGGAAGCACGGCAATGGTTATTTTGCATAATGGTAAAAGTGGAACACTGGCTACTCTGTATGTTTAGATCTTCTCTGTATGGAAATCTATGTCAAGATTATCACATGTATTTCTCCAAGAGTCACAGTGCTGGTGGTAACACTACTGCCATAAATCTGAGTCAAGGGGAGCTGCATCTGACTGTTTCCAGAAGGGACTCCCAGCTGCTGAGAAAAAGATGATTGAACACTGCTGAGCGATCAGGGGCTAATTTATTTCCTTTTTAAAAACAGCACCCATTTGCTACTGGACTTCTAGATTAAAGATGCTAACAAACTAATGGCCGTGGAGGGAAGAGGTCAGAAATCATCTCCTGACTTTTCACAGCTTAAGGACAACTACAACTTGTCTCCAGAGCGCTGTGCCATTTGTACCGCTTAACCCATTTTGGGAAAGGCAGCGATAACAGCGTCTGCTCTCTGAAGCACCATCTGCCGGCTTTGCTCTAAGCTGACCGTGCCTCGGGGTGGTTTCGGCAATGACACCGTTCAGTGTCGGTGACCAAGGGTGACACCGCGACACCCCCGCGGGCCGCCTTACCCCGAGGGGCCCCGCAGTGCCCGGCAGGTCTCGGAGCGCACCTTCCCTCCCTGGCGGCTGGAGCCCCTCACGGCCGGAGGGAGCGGCGGGGAGCGCAGGCACACGGCGCGCCCCGGACCGGCGGGTCCTGGCGATGTTTTGCCCTCACGATGCCCGCTCCCCTCGGCCCCGCTCCCCTCAGCCCCGATCCCCTCAGCCCCGCTCCCCTCACGATGCCCGCTCCCCTCACGATGCCCGCCCGCTCCCCTCACGATCCCCGCTC